ATCTGAGTGGTACTACCCAACTATAGAGGGTTTAGGGTTTAGGGCTTTGAGGGTTTAGGTCTTTGAGGGTTTAGGGTTTAGGGTCAGGGAATTGATTGGTTTAGGGTTTAGGGTGTAGGGCTCACAGCTCCGATCGGACAAGCAGACTGTGCAGCCTCTCCTGGGTGTTTCAGTGCAGCAGTGCGTGCCGTGGGCAACGGAAACCCTAAACCCTAAACCCTGGCGGCAGTTGAGAGACTTTCCCGGAGCAGTGTCGTAGTTACAGTCGTAGGTCTTTTCTTTGGGTGTTCGCGTTTGGCTCTGGGTTGGTGTGCTCGCTTTGTGCTACTGAGGTTGCTGGTCTCATGTGTATGGCAGAACGTCGCCGAGGTACAAACACCCTTTCAGAGTGTGGTTTCTTCAATCTTTGTTGGAGCCTAACACCGTGCTGTCCGAAGTTGCACCTTCTGTGTAACCTTAAGCCCTTAATACCCCGAACCCTAGTTTTCCGCATGGATCCATCATGAATGGAATCCTTACAGAAACGTTACATGACCTTTATGGTCAAGACAGGTTTTACCTCGTCACCGGCATGAAACCGAGATGGAGCCCATGCGCCACGTTGCAGCCCAAGATTCTCCCTATCGCAGGTTTAGATTAAGGGGTTTTATGTCCTGGTAGAGAGGACAGGACACCTTTGAGTTAGGGGATTTGGGTTAGGGTGCTAGGCTGGTGTTCGTTCAAAGCAGGCTAAGAGGTTCAGGACAAAGATTGGGGCTGAACTCACATTCCGCAACCCTCATTTCCCCCTTCATCCCCCAACTCCCCAATCACCTGACCCCACATCCTTAAGCCCCAACACCAAACCTACGACACTTCAGTTTCAAGCATGTTCATATCAGCTGAAACTATGAAAGACTACATCCCTAACTGTCACAACAATAACCCAACACTAATTAGACTGCCCGTAGCAACATAATGCTCCTAGGCAGAAGACTGTTTATCGGTCGCAGCAGTCTAGCCAGTCAGGCATGGTAATACTAATCCGTCTAGCTATAGTTGCTATACAAACATGCGCAAGCCCTAAGCCCTAAACTCTAGTGCCCCTCTTGAAGCCCTGCTCTAGTTGTTCAAGCCCCAATTCCTAAACCCTAAACATTAAGCCCTAA